TTGGTCAATTTGAAACGATACAGAGAAGATGTAGGTTATCCCACACGTCCCGCGTTCGAAACCCGTACTGACCAATTCTACAGTAGCATGGCCCCTGCACTAAGGATGACACGCTCAATCAAAGAGAAGCTACAAATTTTTTTTGGCTTTCAATTTTCGTCCATCTGCTTTTTTCAAGTGCAAAAAGTACGCAGGCTGCCGACAATAACGCATGTTATGCGCCTCGTGCTCGAAGCACCTGAGGAGTCCCTTCTGCGAAAACGGATGTGGCTCTCGCGCGTCTGCACGGAGTCTCCGGAGGCTAACGGGAATTGGCCAGCAATGCCTTGGGCGAATGTCCCAGACTTCCTAAGCGAATCATCTCCTCATCGTGCAATGCAGTCGCTCCGCCCCTTTCACTCGATTTTGTCACATTTACACTGCGGCCTCGTAGGGTGCAAGGGAGGTGTATCTCCGAACCATACAGTCTAAGCAGTAAACTCGAATGCAATATCCATGGTCAGGATCTTGGGATTCAGAGGACTTGTCGTCGTTTCCAAGACGCCTGATCAGGGCACCTATCCATGTTGGGTGGTAAAGCCCACAGACAACGACATCGTCTGCTGAGAATCCCCTTCATCTCCCACGCCCTCTTGCAACCCAGACGAGTTTCCATTAATGCCGCGATCCAGGACCGTTAACCACGTTGCATGCAATCAGACTGGTTCTCCGAGACCCCGAGTAAGACGTCGAGTATGGTGCTGCGCTAGGTTGCCATGGCGGCCACTTCACATCCGGCATGGCAAGGCACCAAGCAGGTACTTAATTTATTTTTCAGGTACCTGCGGAATGGCAATGCACCTTAACCTTATCGGATGTATCTTTAACACAAGGCACGGTAGTTCCAGCGATCGCGAAGATCACCCAGGGTCTGGTTCTTCGACGGTCAGCAGGCATTGCGGGCGGCCCACCACCGTCATTCTCCCCACAATCGCCCAGGGCGAAAGCGAAAGCGAGGATGCGTTGTGTTCTAGCCTTCCATCGTCGACTCTCATGAGCCTTACGAATCGCTACAACCCGGCCTTCCCGTCCGAGTTTCCACTTGATTGCGTACCGCATCCACTGGTTCCGCAGAGCCCGCATCACAATACTGAAACCAGCAGCTCAATGGTGGCCAACTCATGTCGGCTGCGTCATTCGAACCGCGCCATGATGAACGACGAGGTTGAATGCTGTGCTGGCCAGGCATACATACCCCTGAACATGGTCTGCCGTCTAGTCCATAGGATCGACAATGATTCGCAGGGACCTGCTTTTGCTATGTAACACAACACGATGAAATCGGAAATGAAGAGTCAGAGCAGAACCGAGACCGATGGCGGTGATCTGGATTGCAACGCAGCATAGCGGCCCGTCAAACGGGAAAAGAAGTCAGGCTGAAGCCGCCTGTCTTGCCACCGATGAGCCATGCCACGTGTATATATATGGCTGTCATTGTGCGACAGAACGATTGATTAAGACACCGGCTCGCTTTCCTCACATAGTCGACACATTTTACAACTTTTGAGGTATCAATATGTTATATTCGGGAGCGCTGACAGCAACATTGGCAGCTTGCGCTGCAGCCACCGGCTCTGGGGTTAGAGCACGGGGGATTATCACCAACGATGGTGTCAGATGCGCTTGTAACCAGCTTGCAACCGCTGACCCCGACGCACTTCTTCGCCCCAGCTCGACCCAATACAGCGCTCAGTGCATCAACGTCTGGGACAAACGCTCCAACCTGGCTCCAGCCTGCATATATCTCCCCACGACGGCGGAATCCGCTGCCAATGCTATCGGAATCTTCAATACGTGTGGCGCTCAGTTTGCCGTCAGAGGCGGTGGACACATGAATGTGAGCAAGTGTTCGGTGCTTGAACTGTACACGGCGCTGACGAAAATGGTTCCAGGCCCCAGGCTCCAACTCCATCAACGACGGCGTGCTCCTCGCACTCAACAACCTGAGGGACATTAAGGTCAACGACGAAGACTACACCGTCGAGGTGGCCCCCGGCAACAAATGGGTTGACGTATACGAAGCTCTTGCCCCCTTCAAGCGCTATGCCATCGGTGGCCGACTCAAGACCATTGGCGTACCCGGCCTGACTCTGATCGGCGGTGTCAGCTATTTCCTCAACAAATATGGATATACCATGGACAACGTTGTCAGCTATGATGTGATATTGGGGAATGGCACATCAGTCCAGGCCAGTCAGGACATCAATCCCGAGCTCTTCTGGTCCCTGAAGGGCGGCGCTGGTAACTTTGGTCTCGTAACCAAGTTCGTCATGAAGACGTACGATGTGCCTCTGGTCACGAGCACAACGCAGGTATTCAACGAGTCTGCTGTCCCGGCATTCATCAAGGCCACTTGCGACATGGTGCTCTCCGAAGACGGCTCTGTAGGTGCCGGAGCCGTCATCAACCTCAATTATAACGTCAGCACAAAGTTGGTCACGCCTCAGATCTTTGGTCTCCAGGAAACGACCGAGTCGCCGCCCTCCCGCTTCGCCAACTTCACCGCCATCCCGGCCGTGAAACGCATCCACAATGTCACGGAGCCCGTTCACTGGCACTCCAAGCTGGAAAGCCCAAACCAGATGTTCCGGTGAGTAACCATTCCAATGTGACTTCTTCGTAGGCAAGTTCTTTTCTGACAGTCGTGTAGCATTCAATTCGGCCATCATACGATCAAGCCGGATGCTGATCAGCTGTTCTGGGTATACCAACAGTGGCGCAACGCCGTTGAAGATATTGCCGATGTTAAAGGTATTCTTCCCACTCTTGTCCTCAACTCTGCTCCCAAGTCTGCCGCCGCCGTTGGGAAGAACAATGGCGTCGGTAATGCCTTTGGCCTGGACACGGAAGAGTCCTACATCTGTAAGAACTCAATTTTTCTCCAAATGCCATAGAACAATACTCATAGTGGACAGGGTGGCAAATCGCGACTTCCTGGGATCGCCCTGAGGATGACCTCCGAGTTGAGGCCTGGGCAAAGAACCTTCTCGGACGTCTCCACAAGGCAAACAAGGACAAAGGCCTGGCGACGGAATTCCTGTACATTGGTGACGCCGCCGAGTGGCAGGACCCTATCCAGACATATGGCGAAGAGAACTTGAGGAGGCTGAGGGTTGCGCGCGACCAGTATGATCCTTCTCTGGTTTTCACAAAGCTCGCTTGGGGTGGATTCAAGCTTGGGTTTTAAGGGGCTTGAGCTCGGTTACGGAGCGCCATCGGGGCATCAGGCAGCGGAATGGTGACTGGCGCGATGTTCTTTCTTAATGTTTTCCTCCTTTTCTCTGACTTGTAGATAGCAGCATATGGCACGTGTATAATTGGCGTCAATTTCTTGATAAAGACGTGATCAAAATGTTTGAAACAGCCCAAGGTACCTCACTATAGACATACAACAACAACGTAAACTGTGTTTCTCGTCAGCTCTCTAGCTGAGTATGATAGGCCTCGGTGCTTATGACAAAGGCGCCAGAATGAAACAGACTGTTTCTGGAAGAGGTGGTGAAGGATCCTGCCAGGAGGTGCTGTAATGCTCAACGCATTCTTCTACGACTTCACCAAGCGCCATTTAACGAATAAGCGTCATGACAGATTTCTCAACGGCTCGCTCCCACGGTCCCCCCGTCACAAGGCTTGCCTTTCATCGCACTACCTTGAGGCTTGTAGCGTTGCCTAGATTCTTTCTATGATTCACTGGTCAAGCGCATCACTCAAAGCGGCCCGTAATTCCATGAATATGTGCCCTGCCAGATAGGTAGGCATGTGCTTAGTTGTTGTTGACAGCACATTCGTCGTCATCTCTTTCCAGCAGACTCCCTCCCAACAATAATCCTCACCCATTTCCCTTGCAAGCCAACTCGGGTCGATAGAGTTGACTTATCACTCTGAGAACACTTTCTCTACACCTGCTGAAAGATCACTCGGATCACAGTCTTCTGCCTTCGATTACCTTCCTGAACTCTACACCACAACTGCCTCGCTTGCAAGCCACCGCCCGCCCTCACTGAAAATACAGTCTTATTCAGCAATCAAGCAGTCAAGATGCCTCCCAAAGCTGCCGCTGCCGCAGGTGACTCCTGTCCCCTCAGCGCCAATGAAGCCAACTTCATCAAAGTCATGTTCGACAACATGAAGACCAGGCCTGACGCCGACTGGGACAAGGTAGCTGAGACGCTCGGTCTTGCCAATAGCAAGGGCGCCAAGGAGCGCTTCCGCCAGATGTCGAAGAAGCACAATTGGGGTGCCCGTGAAGCAGGCAGTGCCAGCCCCGCCAAGCCCGCCGGCAAGTCTTCCACTGCTGCCCGTCCACACAAGCCGGCCAAAGTCACCAAAACCCCGAGGAAGACGCCAGCCAAGAAGAAGGTATGCTTGATTTGAAGAGTTTTGGAGCGTCTCTCTTGTTAACCTGAAGCAGCAAAGCACTCGTGTCGATGCCCCAGAGCCCGGGGACCCTGTCCTCGAATCGGACCGCGAAGAGCAGTCTTCTGCTACTCTCAACAGTGACGAAGATGGTGGTTTTGAGCCTTGAGGTTGCTTGTTCTCTGGGCCACAAAGTATGCTTGGGTGTGGGCATGGGCAGTTGATACGGTCTATGGTCTTGCTTAGGCTTTGCTTTCATTTCGGACGACAGCGAAAGCCTAAGGATTTCAGCAAGGCTCATATGCTAGGGGAATACCTACTTCATTCAGACCGTCATTACTTGTTCCTTGCTGTGTTAAAATTAACCTCCGAATCTGTCAATAAATACGCTCACAGGGTAGACACGTGCAGGGATCAGACTTGACTCCTCGTAGCAAGCCTATCCACGGATGAAAGGAAAGACTACAGTCTACGTACATCTTGAGTCAATCTCTCCGAGGTTGAGTCTTTGTTTTGTGGCATTTCCATCGTAACCATTTGATGCTCCGTTTCCACTTTTAATGAAGCGAAGTAGCACCTGAAGGTATCCAAATCAACGCCGCCGAGACCATTCAAAGACTTTCTCTCAATAAGTGTCGTTCTCGTCCTTTTTCGTCCGGTTTTCACCTTCTCCGACAGATTTAATCACAAAGTGAGACGTGAAGGCACTCCTCTCCATCGCTGCCTGTTGGACAACAGCCTTCCAGGTTTCCGCCCTTTCTTCACCAACACCACGTTACTTACCAGTCTGAAAGCCACATCTCTATCAACCCATTTGACGCTACAACAATCGGAATTCAAGATTATTCGATCCCCCAAAACAAAGCATATCCCCACACTGAATAGTCCCAAAGACCACGATCATGTCTCCAAAGACTTCTCCTCTCGCCGCCTTCTCCAGTTCGTCTGATGACTCACGCGAGGCCCTCCTACCCGCGTTTGACGATATGGAGAAGAACCTTTTCATGGCCATGTTTCTGAGTCTCAAGAGCAAGCCCGATATCGATTGGGAGAAAACAGCGTCCAAGGTCGCCCTCAAGAACGCGGACACATGCAAGGTAATGCCGCTCCCAATCTTCCTGGAGGGGGTGCCATCAGTTTTCTGACCATCAATCAGACTCGCTACGGCCAGATTTGCCGCAAGCATGGCATTCAGACCTACAATCAGATTTTCGGCAAGTATCGCGGTGCGGCTACTTCCTCCAAGGGCAAGACCACCGGCAAGGCATCGGTCATCGACAGTGCTGGAATTCGAAAGGCCACCGGACGGGTTGGTTCGAAGGGACAATACACTGGTCTCAAAACTGAGATCGAGGTTGAAGACGATCTCGAGGATGGTATCATCAAGGACGAAAAGGTCAAGGCTGAGAAGTGAATGAGCTTGGACGATATGATGGCTAATGGGTAGAAGAATTTGCTGAGGGGCTTGACTTGACTCGAATGAACGTTCACCAGCTCAGAGATGTTTAGCTAGCTTATGATGCTTTACTTGTAGTGGCACCAGAGGCTGAGCACGTCGTACCAGGGACCATCTTCATATATTAAGCTTTCAACCCGACATTGAACCTCGTCTTTCTCCGCTATAGTGCGTAACTTCCAACGTGATCAATGAATGCTTCGCTTTAGGCCGTCTTTGCGGCCTCGTTGCCCAAAGCTGGCCTTAACATGGTAAGTGTCAGGCGGCCCTGCGGAGCCGCCAAGCAGGGGTCGGCCAGGGGCTAAGGGCTACGAGGAAACGCATATGTATAGGATGCGGAGGGCCCTTTAAGCTGCGGAGGGCCAGAATTCAGATGTATTCCGACCCCCTACCTATCTTCTATTACCTGGGGACCACGTGTGAAGACCTCTTCACTCTACTCTCAACAACGCTCTGACAGTAGTCGTGCAGAGTCGGAGGTACATACACAAGTTTTCGCCCGACACCCATGTTCCAATCCCAGCACCTCTAGAAACACCCCAAAGGCAACAAGCTCCGAGCCCGCCCTCTAAAACTCCGAACGATCCCAGAATCTGGCCCCGCGGCCATGCCATCAGCGCCTCAAACTCCGGCTCCCCAGCAACCAACCCGTCACCGCTCAGCAGCACCGGCCGAGCCCCAGCCCCTGAAATACCAAATGCGCCTCTCCATGACGCGCAGGAACACGCAGTAGTGCGCCAGCAGCAGCAGCGCCGCGGGCGCGCCCCCCCCGCACGTCGGCCAGCACGCGGCCGCTGACCTCGTACGCCCAGATGAAGACCGTGCCCGGGTCGACGTGCATGCCGGCGGCGGCGATGAGGGCGGCCGTGCGCTCGAGGGCGGCGACGGCGTCGAGGTAGTCTTTGCGCGCGGCGGCGGGGGCGTGCTTGGCTAGCACGGCGCGGAGCCGCGAGAGGGCTGTGAAGGCGTCTTTGGGGATGCAGGCCTGGTCGAGGACGGTGTAGGAGCTGGCGGTCATTTTTAGCGTAGATTCTAGAAATATGAAAGGCCGGAATGTGGAGTGTGTGTGTGTGTGTGTGTGTGTGTGGATGCGTAGACTTGCCTTCTGCTGCCGGCCATCTCGTTACTGAAGTTGCCCTGCGTGCCGTGGAAGAGCGGGGCAAACGGCGTCGTTACGAGGTTCTCGAGGTAAGGCTCAAGGAAAGACTGCATGCCGCGCGTGACGGCAAACAATTCGAGCATCGAGGGCATCGGCTCCGGTAGGACATGGTTCTCGCACCTGACTGGCAGCAGCGAGACGTAGATGACGGTGAGCGCGGCAAAGCAGAAGACGGGTATCCAGTTTTTGATGTTGACGTCGGGCAGCTGCAGCGTGTAGCCTTTTAGTCCCGACGACTGGTAGTGAGCGGCGAGGGTGAGGTAGTCCTGCCGCATGCTCGGGACGAGGAGAGACTTGTGGAGAGCGCTGATGGCAAGCATGCCGTCCATGATGAAGGCATGGCGGTCGCCCTCTTCGGGGATGACGTGTCGCCAGATGTGGCGGACGTCGTCCTGGATGGCCAAGGTATCGGCCGTGTTCACCGAGTAGTGGTGCATGAGCTCGAGCTCGCGGCCGCCGAGGTTCATGTCATTCAAGGGCGGGACGAGGCCGCCACGCTGGCGGAAGTCGAGCTGGAGAAAATCCGTTCCGCCGCCCATCGTGAGAGTCAAGTCACCGCTGCTGCCGCTGCTGGCGATGGATGCGGGTGTCGTGGCGGGCTGCTCTATTCTGCCCGGGTTACCGAGATCGCCACTTCCGTGTTTAGGGGGGTCGGAGGTCGACGGATGAGGCTCCCTCCGGCTCCGGCGACTGGGTGCCGGAGGTGCAACCCGGGTGTCTTGTTGGGGCGCTGCGTAGGCACATGGTATGCCGTGACGGGCGCGATGAAAACATGTCGGGTGTTTCTCGTCACACTTGGTAGAGACATGACGTGTAAGTTTGGTGCAGGTCGAGGCTCGATCATTCAATTGAGATTTTGACTAGCTGGGTACGACTCACCTTGGCTTTCCTCCGTTTACAGTCCTCGCATCCCTTGCGGGACTTTGTATGGCTCCTGCGCGGTGCCATGTGGAGGTGAAAGTAACCAAGATGTCGGGCAACCCAGAATGGTAGACTAACCAACGATCATTTGCATGTTGTGGTCGTGACAAGCAAGGTAGGACATGAGAAGCCGAACACGCGTGTCATTGAAGCGCCCTCAAAGACAAGAGATGCAGCCAGCATTTATTGCTCAGCATTAGACGCCTGGGCTTATAAGGAAAGCAGTGCTGTACGCTCGAAAGATAGTGACAAGCTCAGGCGCCCTCGTGTGCCGTGACGGGGACCGAGATCTGATCCATGTTTGGCCCCTGAGCCGCCCGGAACTCCCGGTGGGACATTAGATCTGCTCTGCTGAGTCCGAACCCGAATACGCGGTTGCGGAGGCATCGGCAGGCCTCACGACGACTTGGTATTCGCACTCACCACGAAGAACCATGACGATTTCGATTCCCAGGAATATTAAGCACACCATGAAAAGTAAGCATAAAGGTTCGACGACGGGAAACATGGCTCACGATTGGAGGGTCCTAGCCTAAACACGAGCCGGCCAGGCACGAGATTCTGCGCAAATGTCAACTCAAATGCTCCTCCAACTTGTGTTATTCCTCGTTGCCTTCACAGCAGAGATACAAAACTTCCCTGACATTTTTTCCTTCTTTTATCGTCTTATAATTCCAGGTGTCTATTGAAGTAGTGTCCGCCAGACCAGCACCAAGTCAACATGAGCGATGGCGCCCTCAAGTACAAGGACGCACAGTCCGCCCACTATCGCTATGACCCGAATGCTGGTGCCGCCGTCTTTTTCGCTATCCTCCTCAGCGTATCGACGATCCTGTACATATGGCAGACAATCCAACCCAAAACGTAGCACATGGCTGCGTTCGTCGCCGGCTTGTGTAACTTCTCCCACCTCTCCATGCTGTTTTCTTTTGAAGGCCGTGTAGCCTAACTGGTTGAAGGTGGATGCGCATCAAATAGCCAGTCGACAAGTCGAATGAACATTAGCAATGAACAGGAAGTCCGTAGCCTGATCTCTCCATGGGCAAGCTAGAACCACGGTACTCGTATGCAGAGAGCTGACTCTGCCAGAGTTTCTCACGCGAATGCAGCATGCTTCGTGCAGGTCAAATAGTCATCAATTATAATGATATGGCATTGTTTCCAGCTAGTCGCAGATACAGTCAGAGAGAGGCAACAAACCATCAACAGGGAGCTCCTTCTATCGCATAGAGCTGGGAAAGCCACCCTACAGCCGTCCAAACTCCGTCATCCAATGTATCATCATGAACCCCGTCGCATATTACTCGTGACAAGAGGGGGGAGACTGGTATCAGAGAGGGAAGAAAAAGTAAAAAGAAAAAGAAAAAGAAAACCCATGGCGAAAGGTGAAGAATCAGCCCCAACTCCTGTGATGCACCTTCTGCACCAACATATTTTTTGAATTCACCGCCGGTACGCCGGATCCCAATGCTCCGACTTGACACCCACATGCCCGGAAAGGCCGAGCCCGAGGCCCGGCGTGGCGTGCTGCGCGTCTTGTTGGGCGGCAGCCATGTGGTGATCGCACGTTGTGCCGATCGAATATTCATCAAGGTTGTAAGCGGCATCGAAAGCCGAGAAGGCCGGGCTCCCCGGCCACAGAGCGTGGTCTTGACCAGACTCGAGCGAGTGCTCGTGCTCATGTCCGCAGTGCCGTGCCGCCGGCATGTCGAAGGCGCCGAGGACACTGGCTGGTGGACTGAAGTGCAAAGGGTGCGCCGCCGACAGCATGTCATCGCTGCACGGTGTGAGGAGTCGCATTTGTGGGGCCGAGTGGCTCTCCGGGCCGGCCGGCGAAGCCATGGATGTGGGGGTAAAGTGGTTCTGATGGTACATGGGTTGGCTTGTGTGCGCCTTGATCTCTAGTGGCGAGCCTGACCGAGCATCAAGGTAGGCAGTGTGGTTTTGCAAGCCTGGCTCGGCCTTGACGAGGTCTTCTGGCTTGATCGTCTTCTGGTCCTTCTTCGACTTGGTCACCTTGTTCTTCTGGTTCGCCCGGTTCCTCTTTTGCGGCTCAAGACCCAACATGGATGACCTGAAGCGAGAATATCGCATGCGAGCAGCATGTCCGTTGGTGATGGGTTGAGAGAGAACGGGATCATGGGCCACGAGATTCCAGTCGATCTGATGGAGAGAGAGTCAGTTGTGGCCAAGAATTTATACGCCGTGTCTGCCTGTTCAGTGACTTACATCTTTGAGGTTCTTCTGCTTCAAAATGGCGAAGAGAAACCTTGTCATCTGGTTGTCGGTGCTGGACATGGTGGCTGCAAGTGTTGTGAGAGTATTTGGGGCTGTCGGTAGAGGATCGATGGAGGCGGTGAAAACGGGTTTCGCCAGATCATGACAGCAGAAGTGAGCCGATGTGAAGGCTGTTGAATCGTTGTTCGAGGTCATATATAGCTTCGTTTTTTATTCGTTTATGTTCCAGCTTACGGTGCCACTTTCTTATTCGCTCTTTTTTTTAAATT